ACGGCTGAGCATATATAAGCACATGGAAGATAAATTTTATTTCAATATTATTCTATGCAAGCAAAAACACTGGTAAAAGTATCCTACGATTCGAGAAAAACTGGCAAGACAGGTACGGTGTACATTATAATATTCTGATAAAAAGATTTATCTATCATTGGCGTATCCCAAACGGAAATTCATTTCTGCATTATATCGCTTTTTAACAGTACAGTATTAAATGCAAGTAATTGTAGTCGAATGGGCATGTTAACCTGACTATCACACTAAAATCTGTGGATTGAAAAATTAACGGACGCAGTGCAGGCGTCACCTGAAACTGAGTACATAATGTGTGTGCCAGTTTGCACATTTATCTAACGTACTAAGATTCGAAATATTATCATATGGAGCAAGTAATCGGCGTAAAATCTATTTCGGTAGCCGATATTTCATCCATTTTTTTCAGTATCATGTGCATCTGATGCATGTTTTATGTTCATATGTGCGTATGTTCCTATGTATGCGTATTTATGTCTGATGTTTGTATCTGTAGTATGTATCAAGGTATATATGTATGTGTATATATGTACTGAAGATTAGTAATAATAGTTCAAAATATGGCTCAAAAAACTTTCTTTTGTATGACCACTTTGCAACTGATCGAGATGGCTTGAGGGCCCGGCTGCGATGGTATATGCATATGTGTAATGCAGATGTGCACGCGATATCATTTGTGTTTGTTCGATGCCAAATCGCTTCATTAGCCCGTTTTCTTATGTGCTTTTTAGCAGTGCAGTATTTAATTTCGTCTTGCATTGTGTAATGAGAGGTCAAGTCCTCAGTACAATTTTTGACCGAGTCATTCGGTGAAATATAGTTAGGTAAACCCTGAAGCACATGATAAGTTTTAAGAACTGGGCATACCAGTGAACTAGTACTAAACAGCAAAACTGTCCGTAGCAAGAAATCTGCTGTCTCATAGTTAAATATGGGCGGATTATATCCAAAATATTAATCATCCTGCAGATTTGCAAGGATATAACAAAATATTTCAATTCACCTTGTTAATTGTATTCTGAAAGAAATAGTGGAAAATGTTCTATTACCCAATTAGGCTCCTTGACTGAAGCGTCATCAAAACAGACGATTAGAATAAGAATTGAATTCTATCACTGCACAGACCTGCGAGTTATGGACTCACTGACTATATGCTCTTGCCCGGATAGAAACGTCGGAGAAATGATGCAAGCAGTTTGGATCCCTTCTTTGCATTCCTGAATGAATTTGCACAACGTATATGGCGACACATTATCAGAACCATTGATGTTTTTATACGCTTTTGTGTTCCGTGATGTTCCGCATTATTCAGCAGCAGAGAAATCTGGAACTAAGATTCCATGAAGAAAGCCGGAAAAAAGTGTTTATTTGGTGAAGCCCTTTGGAACCCATAATAATGCGCGCAATAATATGCGTAAAATGTATTGTAATGAAAAATTGGTGGCTAATTAATTACACAAAAATACAACATAAGCAGGGAGAATGAGTGAAAGAAAGTGTTATATATGATTACTTGTTTAGGTTTACGTTTCTATGCCTATAGTTATGAAAAGCATTTCAACGATTCATGGTTTGGGGCACTAAACAGTGCAGATAGTAGAATTTAGTGCCGACGCGTTTCGATAAGTAAGCCGTAGCATCATCAAGATTAAGCAAAGTACAAATGAATGCTTGAAGGCAGATGTCCATAAAGCAAATAGTACATTACAACCAAAATGTTGTTAAACCGAACGGCCAGCATTAGCCTACCGATCAGTGCAAATTTTTCATTAAAACGATCATGTCAATTTTGCAATCGTCCTCTAGCTTTCGCCAATAACTGAAGATAGGATATGTATTCATTTCACATCCGGTTTTCATTCCCAGTATATGCAAGAGCTTCTGTATCAGCAGACAGTTTAGATTGGTCTTTGTCTATAACAGACACATTGGTCTGACTGAAAGAATGTTCCTCAGTAATCGCATGCTGGGCAGTACCAGAATCGTCAGCCTGTCCAAGGCAGACCGCAGCATGGTGCGCTTTTATGCTGATGTTCAATTTGCGGTTGATATTTCTAATATACACATTGTCGCAGTGTGCACTGAACCGTGTATACAACAATTGACAGATCTTCAGTGTTATTAATGGTCACGCTCTTTTTAAATAAGGTATCGCTCAATATTCTGCTAGTGTTGCAGTAGACTGCAAACCCCATTTGGTTGAGGTACCTCTTAATACGTTGAGATACTGAGGAATGAAAGGTTACATTACCATTGGTCCATATGAACTACTCGGTTTTATATTTGTGCCGGGGTGCTAAACTTCTTCGTCCGGGATCCTCCTTTTGTAGCCGTTCATTAGAAACGCTCGGTAAAGAAATAGGATTTCCGCGTTTAAGCTGGAACTGTAGCAAGTTTGTTGGGCTTACAAACGCATGTTTTTCACCACATTCCTAAGTAAGCCACGAGGGGCACATTAAGCCGAATGTAGGCATCGATCAGAGTGTGTTGGTTTCCGATATACAGAAGCCTCAAATTCAAACACTGGAGTCCTCTTCTTCAGCATGTCGAGAAAAGATATAGAGTGTTTGACTTCCTCTTCCCTAGTAAAGC